TATTGTTCTCAGATTTATAAAAATGTATGTGTACGTTTTGTGGAGAAATATGTTCGAATCATTTTTGCATGACAATGTTGCACTTGAAACTTCATTTGGATAAATAGGATCTCCTAGAAATAAAATAGTTGAAAAGTTATTTTTCAATTATGTAATGTGCATCTATCACTATCCCAAAATGGTGGGCATATGCCATTATCGCAGTCAGTTACCATCGAATTTTTAAATTAATTCACTGTCAAGTAATTAGCGATTTAAGGCAATATTGCCAGTGAGGTAATCTTGCTGTCAATATAGCTGCATAGTACACTTGATCAAATAAACTAGAGAGAATTGTAGGATAAGAAATATGAGATTGAGCAAATAAACTGAACAAAAGTATTTTAAAGAAATATCTTAATATAAAAAGGCTGATATCTAGAAATCTGTAATGTGTATTACAAAGAGCTTTGCAACATGTATTTATATTTCAGGTGAGCACGGAAGATGCCTCATCTAGTGCGCTAACAGCCTCAACACACTTACTGCTTATTTTTGCGTCTGCGGGTACTACTGTTTTCACTATATTGGCTATCGCTTTAGCGCGCAGACGATCGCGACATCGTGGTTTTATCGAGGTTTTTAGAATTTAGTACCTTTTACCTTCGAGATATGCTGTAGATAATACTGCATTTGTTTTATAAGTCTGGTGTGAATAGGTTTTCTTAATGTTGACTGTAATTTATTCCAAACTCTAGGTTGACATATGCACTCCGGAAGAACGGCACGTAAATGGAATGCAAGTGAATGGTTACGAAAATCCTACCTATTCATTTTTTGATAACAAAGCTTGAGTTTCGAGAGCTTGTTGACAATATTTTTATCCGTTCCATATATCATACACTACAACATTTTTGGAGGATGTAATTTTATTTTCGTGACATGACACTGCATTCGATTTTTTTGATCTTTAGTATTGCATTTTTGCATGAAATGCAGTGGTCACACTGTTTTTCATTTTCTGATATAGATCTTCATTTATGATTAGGATTCATGGACACCTTCTTTCGTCGAAGTTGGGAATTATATTTTCGAGAAGCACCAGTACTTTGCTTATAGTCATTCTCTCCTAACGATGTTTTTGTCGTTATCGACCAGTCTTAGTCAATTCTTCATTGAATAGTCTTTGAATACTCTGACTGTGAAAATGATTTGGATTCCTATCCTCAGGAATAAGCGTACTGTGCACTGAAGAAATTATCAGTAGTTGTTGTGCCCTATTTTAACATTACTCCAGCGCTACTTGGCTGACCGATTTATCTGCTAAAAACTTTTCCTTACATACTTGCATTTCAAAACAAATTTTCTCACTTCATGAAAAATCTTGAGTTAAATGCATTTTTTTTTATCCTTTCAGTTAAGCTTTAGAAGCAGTAATCTTTTATTTACATGGTTTATTTAATACAGTGAAAATTTGAATTTCAAAGTAAGTCGTGTGATGTTTCTTAAAACTTATTTCATGTTTGACTTAACAGACACTTATAAACTACAGTCTTAGAAGTTACTTTTCCAAAAATTTTCTGGTATATTTATTGCTTGTTGTGACTAATTATGAATTAAATTCAAATAAAATTATAAAGTCTGTTTTTAGAATTATTATTGGAGTGTGTCGCAATTGTCATATTGACATAAGATGTGAAACCCAATATAATGTCATGACCACCCCTGATTTTTATCTATAATCATTATCCTGACTGTATTATCGTGCTTTATTATCTTACTGAGTATATTTTTATGTAATAATTTGGATTCACTTTTGTAGCCTTTATTTTGCATGCCACTAATTACGAGATCGCATCTATCCATTATTATTTTGCTTTGATATTTATTTACTATTTGTAATCCAGACTTTATTAAATATTTTAAAACTTCACACAATTTCTTCTTCAGTCATCATTTTTTAAAGCGATTAAACAGAAAGAAGATGATCACAGTTCGATATGGCTCTAAAAATCATCAATTATAAATTTCTGCTACCATTTAAATTTTTGAAAGTTCTGCTATCACAGGAATGTATCAGGTAGGATGTTCCTTCACCTGGTCAGTCGTTCCAGGTTCCACTGTTTAGAATAAATATAGGTCGTAAGCAGGGCTTAGAAGGTACCTGTTTTATGAAATCAAGGAAAGGAACAAAGTATATATGGTCCTAGTGAGCGGAGTACTGGACATATACAGATTATCACAGATTCTTCAGCCCTTTTGCACATTCTGGAGGCACTGAAATGACCAGGGATAATACTGATATCTCCTTACATTTTACTGTGGCTTGGGGAGGATACTGATGGGTGGGGCTTCAAAAATTCAATAAGCAGTTATGATACTAATATATTCTTTGGGGGTCCAAGCGTTTTTGTTATGATAGCAGGATATTCATCGTTGATTCAAGTTGGTCACTGGTCTACACATGGTTGATGGGAATCAGTTTTAGCAGTGCATTGGAAAGGGAATCAAAAAGTTATGCATGATATTTTGCTCTTTCATAGATGGAAAAGAACGAATATGGTTTGGATTTATTGAAGGGTAGTCCTAAGAATGACCTAGAATGCGGTCAGTATTCTATCATTTCTCATTAACTGAGTTATTAATAAATTTGAAATTGTTTGAAGAAAGATGAAAAAAGGACAAACATTTTTGGCACTTCTGCTTATCGCTTTTGACGTTTTTCATGCAAAGGTATTTACGAATATCACAATTAGCAGTGCACAGTTGATGGGCAGGTATCCATTCTTTATCGTTTTCGAAAGGATCACCGCCTATCAAGAAGTTGAAAGTTTGATTTTACTCAGTGAATGAGATTTTTCTACTTATTTGATAAGGAATTAGTTAAGTTCGATGTAAGGTTGCTATACATTTGACATAATTTATTTTAAAAACTCTTGAAATTCGTTCACGCCATGTTTTCTATTACAAATTTGTTTCATAATTTGCCCAATTATAAACTCAAAATAGTGACAAGTTTATTGATAAGTCAAATGTTTTAAGCTGGCATTTACCTCAAAATATTAAATTAGCTGTCCTATGTGATGTGATGTTTGACTACTTATCAAAGTCCTCACACCTTGTCTGTGATGAATAAAGTGAAGTAAGTAAAAATAACAAAAGTAAAAGTAACAGAAGCTTTTCTTGATCTCTCTTCTTCCTTTTCAAACAGAACTGATTCATTTCTTACTAAAATGAACCAATTATAAAATATTAAAATTGAAATGCTTCATAATAAAAGAAAAATACCTGCCCCCATCCCCCCCCCCAATTTCAATATAACACCTGCTAAAACTATCCTAGCACTAGTAGGAGCTTCAACATGAGCCTTAGGTAACC